AAAAGGTATTTCAAAATTTAGAAAATATTATAATAAAATATTATTAAAAAAAAAAAAAAAGAATTATCAGAAAGTATAATAAAAAATTATCACAAGATATTATGAAATATTTTCTTAACATTATTTTGTCATAACACAGTTATTTTATACGCAGAATATCAAGAGGATTTAATTTATAATGAAATGATAGTAATTTTTAATTTTTGGATTTAAAAAATGTGAATTAAAAAATTAGTTAATGCTTATCATAAAATGTCCTTTAAAACAGAATACTTGAATCTATGATGTTTTTCGATAGTGATTGTTTTTGAAAATATTTCATACAAAATTATATAGTTCATATTGCATAATGAAAAATATAAATTTGCTGATTCAGACTTTATACTGTAATATCATTGTTCATAGGTACATGTAGAGTAAAAATGAAGGTATCTGCGTGATATAATAGAAACTCGAGCTATCACTTGAATCCATTAGAAACACAATTGATTTAATAAAATAATATAGAATTCTTGCAACACAATAATTTTAAGTTAATTTATATTCAACTCTAAACGAATTGCGTAAAGCTACACAATTTGTCTCGTTACTTTGATTCTCGAGATATAAATACGAGACACGACCGTGTTTCTTAATGTTAAAACTCGTGATATTTGCTTGTACGAGAATTGTTCGGATATAAATCAGAATTTTGTTTGCTATGCACTGCTTGTGCCAAGCGAGAAAAAAAATAATTACATGGCATAGGTTACCAACGATCCGCATTGGATCGATCTCCACATTCAAAAAGTCATTAGACATTGGAGAATGCAATACCTGCGATAATAATTTTATATAGCATCTCCAAACACAGATATTACTTTGGATTGCTATATAAAATCGATCAAAATGAATGAGAAACAGATCTGAGATCTACAATGCTAATAAATTATCTTTGTTCTTTTTATTTCAATGTATATAAATCTATGCAAAAATATTATGTATCAAAATTTATTTTGATCCAATAAGGCTCTTTTTGTTTATCTGTGTCATTTATTCTTCTTGTTCATTTTGTTAATAATAATATGAAGTTGCCTATTCTGCAGAGAATACTGAGTTTGATGATGACTTTCGAGATTTTTGGAGACAAGAATATGAATGAGCAAAATTAGACAAATGGAAAACGGCAGGAATAATTTCATTTGCATAAATATCCAATAATTAAATAATTAAGTACAGCAAAATCGTTTTCGTGTTCACTTTAAGATTGATTTATCATGATATATTTTCTTTGTGAAGACAATTAGTTTTTTCATTAATAGTAAATCATTATGAGCTGAGCTGCTATTTTGAAAGCTGCTATTTCGAACACAAAAGACTGAAGATTAAAATATGTTTTGTCGCTGAATTCTGGTCATCTAATTATAAATTATTTTTAAGATTGCTATACTTGGATAAAGAACGCTTCGAAAAAATTTTCCTGCACGTCATGTACAAAAAAAATTTTGCATTATTGTACCTCTTTTCAACTTATTTGCTGTGATTATTTTTTATATTATATCTGATGTATGTATTATTTATATATATATATATACCAATTGTTCATTATCTCTTTGTAAATTTTATGGACAATTGCGATTATTATTATAAATTCTTCGTATACACTATATTATATTTTAAAATATCGAAATTTATATTTACTTAATCGAATTTACCTTTTAAATATTATGAAACAATTTTATAATTTTTTTAATTACGGAAAATATAACTATATTAAAAAAAATAAAAAATAAAACTGCTCATAATTTGAGCCTTTTCATTTTTTTATTTTTTTGCATTGTAAATATTCGATCTTTATTCTATTTTATTTTTTATAACTAAATTACTTACATTTTATATCCTAAATCACACATAAAATTCCTGAAGAAATTTATAAGTAAATTTCTTTAATATAGCAAAATATTATTTGTGATATATTTACGGTCTCACCAGTCTTCACAAATATAGACATTTTACGTATTCGTATATATGAAATGCAAGATCTTTTTTGTTGTTTTCAATATAAATTTAATTTTCGGATAAATACTCGTATAATCGGTGGAATGTGCTAGATGGAATAACAGATCAAACAGATATACAAGAATATACAAGCCACGCTCGTGCCTCAATTTATTAATCGCCAAGTAATTAATAACAAGTTTTTTTGTTCACAAAAATTTTCTCACATAGACTTCTCGTATACTCGAATCTAATGACAAAACATATTTGTAGTATTAATTATGATGTAAGAATACCAGGTGTAACATTCCTGTGGATAATCGGATGACCAATCAGAAATTTGTTTCAAATTTTATGAGGCAATATAAAGTCGCTATAAGAAATCTACTACCAATCAATACCAATCAATACAGAGAAATTAGTCTCAAATTATTTTCAGCAGCTATTATGAGCAATGTTGCACCTGGTATTCTTACATCATTGAATTAGCGAGAAAAGAGAAAAGGAAATCGATTATTCGCGCTTTATTTTGGCAAATGCGAGATATAAATATTTTGCAAGACTTGGCGAAACTTTGTACATAAAGTCAAATGTGACGATCGAACCTCGACGGCGTAGGTGTTCAATGTAAAATATTTACGATTTTTATTATGTGTGATATCCTGTAAATTTCGAAGCGTAGATAAGCGAGTGTAACATTATTGTAATAATTATTTTCGTTATGTAAATGCTTATTATATCGGCGGAGAAAAGAATATCAATATTTGTCGAACATAATTGTATCATATTATATTTGTTTTGCAAATCTGAAATATATTGACAAGACAGTATATTAAGATGCAATCTTACTTATTTCAGATATTCAGAGTAATCCTACATGCGTACGTACTTTTTAAAAGCTTTTTGTACATAATTGGTATCTCTCTTTTTATAATAATTTATAAATAAATAAAATTATTTTTACATTATATTGATTTATACAGAGATATCATGAAATTATTATCAATACATGATATCAATAACAATATTTGAGAAATCAGTTTTATTACACATCAGTAAAATGATTTCATTAAAAATATAAAATAATTACGTGCACATCTATATAAATAATCAATTTCTTTAATAAATAAATGAAGTTCTTACTTTTAATTTGATACGTACCCTCTTCTCTGCATCCTTTCGTACGATACGAATGATGGCAGACAGAGAATACGAATCGCGTATGCGTCGGGTCTTCCAAGATTCCTAGGCAAGATTATAAAAATCGTTTCTTCAGTGAATTATAGATATTGTATAGTGAATATAAGATTCTTATTAAACTGGCCCCGAATTTAAGGAGCTTCTCGTGGGGCGTATTGAACGGATAAAAAAAATGAACAAGAAAGGGGACATATATACAGGAAGGGTTCGGTTGGCGCCACGACGTGTCTAGGCACCTACGCGAGAAAGAGAGCGAAGAGAAAAAGTGGAGGAGATAGCATCGGCATCGGGACGACCGTAGCGTTTTATTGCTCGATAAGCAGATGAATTCGTCAGATAATTTCCAGGCCCGATGCAGATGATTTTATTAGCTAAACCCATACAAGACCCCGGAATTCTTCAGGTCGAGGATTGAGATGACACAGGACTCCGGGAAGATCACCAGAGATAAGATGAGATACTGAGGGAGGTCCGACCAGGTGTCCTCGCGTGAATTTATATGATCGATGATTTTCAGATATGCTAATCTTTGTGCATTATACGTTCGTTTTCTTATCCCAATTTGTGATGTACACCGAACGACAAGCGAATTTATGTTAAACGGATACGCGCCGTAGATCCGCGATGTCGAGATGGTGGAAACGCAAGCGATGAAGCAGAAAGATAGATACGAAAAAATATAATATAATTCCTGTTCTCGGTAGGTGCTTTTGTCTTGCTGCCCCCGTCTGTCTTTTTTTCTGCCTACCCTCATAAAAGCGAGATTCGTATTAAAAAGGCACGACATATAATTAATGTCTGACAGTCACGGAAGATGCGGAGCGACGCCGGCATCCTATATCTTCTCTCATATATACACGTGCCAATTTATAAAGAACATGCATTCCTCTGCTCACATACGCGTGTTTCACGTATTATAGGTATGTATGTGCGTCG